TGTAACGTGTTTAGGCTCGCAGATTAACCATAAAACCCAGTTAAAAAGTTATTCGGTGAGGCAAACAGTACGCCTGCCTCAAGGCAGAGGGCGCTAGTGAGCCCACAGATTCTTGCGCTACCTACAATCTTCTTCGTGCTTGTTTATATTTCCTTTACAATCTGCCTTATCAAAATGGAAGATTACATTTCCAAGCTGAGAAAATTCGCAAATCTGGACTTTCAATCAAAACATTTTTGACAGTCTGGACATTTTTGTCCAGAAGGATCTTCTTTATTGAGAACATTTGTTTTAATATTGGATTCAAACGGTAAAAGGGTTTGTAATACATACCAGCTGACAAATGGATTTCGTGTACAAGTAAAGGTAAGACCATAAACTTTTATTATTTCTAGTTAGAAATAAGCTCAATTGGAATAAATTTTAACCTCAAATTAAATATGGGTCACGTTTGTGTGAAGAATGTTGATATGAGATATAAAACACAACGCATTGTCTGTTAACAGACAGTTTGTATTTGTAAATCTGACTAAAAGAGTCAGTGCCTCACCAGCTGTCAACATCACCGCACGTCACTGGCATGCGGTAATCCCCCAAACAATCTCAAAAGGAAAGCAAGACACAGATCAATGGAGGAAGATTCACTTCAAAACCAGCACAGGAATTGCTTATCGCGACAGCTTCTCCAGGGGTGGTATTTATGTCCATACTCAGCCCAGCACATTGCTCACCGGGCGGCATAGGCGTGGCCAACCCGCCGGTTACAAGTGAAAATAAGGGCTGTTCAACATCCATTAGTTTTAACTCCAACATGACCGGCTCACTTCCAGACACCATTCTTTGTAAGTGGCGAAGAACCTCACCGCCAACTAACGTTTTGGCGGGGTAATTGCAGGGCGAGGCAGACACACCTGTCACAGGTATAGATGCTCACAATGCCGCTACTTACAAAGCCTCCGGCATAGGCTCAGTGTTTATTGAACACAACACCAAATCAAGCTGTTTTCCGTGTGTTTATTGAACTAAACTATGTACAACCAGCATGGCTACAGCAGCACTCCATGTTGTAATAGAGATTAGGTGAATAAACAAAACAAAACAGTATAAAAGACTAGGGCTTCTATTTTAAGTTATATTCTTCAATAATGTTATAAAGTTGAACAGCATTTTTTGTTTTAGTAACCTTGAGGGCTTTTTAAAGAGCAAGGAACTCTGTGAAATACACAGAAACGGAGTACCATTTTTCATATACTTGTATATGTAAAATTTAACCATAAATCAAGTTAAACGAGACAATAAAATGCTCCCCCTTCCCCCTCTTCCGTTTCCCGCGGAAGCCCTTCCCTGTTAGCCGTTAGCCTCCTAGCTTTTTAGCCGGACGACAGGAGGAGAAGCCGGGGAAACGGAGGAGAAAAACACAGATAAGAGGAGGAAATGTTCCTGGCGGAGCACGGTGCAGAGATGCGGTGACCGGGCAGTGAGCTTGCCGCCGACAACAGCCGCTTCGGGGTGTGTGAATGTGGCTAAAAAGGGCCGAGGAGAAGTGGAAAAACAGCAACTCCCCTCTCCACGGTCCCACTGCTGTTCCTCCTTATGCAGCTTCATCTCTCCGTTACTCACCGGCAGGAAACACGTTCACAGACAGAAAACAGTTTTATATCGCCGCGTTCATTTGCTAGTGTGTTTTACGCATCTTTTAATGAAACCGAACAGCTGTCGTTAGCCCGCTAGCTTCACCTTTCCATTGGTGTAAACGCGGAGGAGCGGCTAGCCTTTGCCTGGCTGCGTTTTAATCCAGGTCTGATGGAATTTCACGTTTCAGACGCTGGAAAATCAGTTTGTACAACGCAGATTTAAACAGTTCTATAGCATTTATGGATAAGTGAGGTTTCTAGTCGGCTGGAGGTAGTTTGAAAAGCATTTGGCAGTGTTTGGGTAGTCTTTTACGTGTGTTTTGAAGAAGTCTGACTGTTTTGACAGGGGTTTGGGGTTCAGGTTAACCTAACCATCTTCTCAATGTTACTTCAGAGTTTGAACGGTGTGAGAAATTGTTGTGAGTGGATCAGCGCACGTTTATTAATACGTTGCCACGTTTTCCATACATTTGATATATATGTCCATATTTACTGTTTGTTAATTTAGAGCAACGAATTGCCCATGAGGGACAAATAGAGTTGTCTGAAATGAATTGTCATTTAGCATTAAGGTTTTTATTGTTTGGGGGAAAAGGCTGAGAATATTTTAGATACACACAAAGTACTTGAGCCAACATTGAAGTTTTCTGATGAGTTTAGTCGTTTAAAGTTAGTTAGTGTGGCTTGGACACGATTTTAGGGGTTTTACATAAACTAGTAGCGTTGGTCTGCTGCTGATAATTATTTTCAAAGCTCCTGGGTGGTAGTGTGACGTTCACTTGGCTCACGAGACAAGATGGTACATGATGGGAGGTTCACGAGAGAGAGGCGATATTTTTAAGAAATGATCAGGGATGAAATGTTTGACTAAAAAAATGCAAAACAGTGCAGGTGCATTTTGGAATGTTTTAACTAATCATCTTGTAATGACCCTTAAGTTTTACTTTCTGAGTATAAATGATCACATGCAGTAAAAGACAACATGCAGGCACTGTAAAAGGTTTGGCCACACGCTCAACTGACTGGCTGCTGTCCTGTAGGATTTCATGAGTCTCCTTAGACCTTAGAACTATACATGAACTTCTAGTTGAAGCCGTGTGTGACCTAACTGAACTCCTTTCCACAAACTGAACGTGAGAAAGTGACGGGGGCGTCTTCTATGCTAATTTCACCCTCGTGCTCTGTCGTGGGCTGCTGATCTGGGTCCCTTGTGCACTGATCGTATGCCATGAGATCTTGTCACACTCCTACTCCTGAATCAGCTTAATGCTTTTATGCTATAGGCTACTTTTATGTCGCTGTCATGTTTACTTATTATATGTACAGAAATGTAAGAAGATGTGAAGATGTTGAAGCTTTTAAAATCGGTTTGAATGTGCTTGGAAAGGTTTGCAACAGTATGTGCATGTTCATCCCTTTAAGTATCAGTACAACAAACTGCAAAATGTTGCTTGAATTAAAGTACTCTCATCAGCTGATTGTTTACACATATTAGTATGTGTGTTATGAAGCAGTGTTTTTAATTTTGACTATCCTCCCACTCTCCATAGACGACCATGCAATCATTCCCTGCTTGCCCCCTCGCTGTTAGTGTGTGCGCATGAGATCAGGGATGGGGTTCGGTCGGGATCTGAGGAATTCCCACGAGGGATTACTGAAGCTGCAGGACTGGGAGTTAAAGGTACAACTGTTCACACACAGTCTGTTTTTAAAGCAGCTATAATGTAGTTGTTTATACCATGACTGTATGAACTGACAGTGAAAAACAGCATTAACAGTTCAGGAGTCTGAGCTAGTGACTGGTCAGCTGAACGTGGAGCTCCCTTTGGCTTCACAGAGCTTTACAGTGAGTTTCAGCTCACCATTTAGTGTCTGGACCATAACATTACTGTTCTGGTTCACCCTCTCTGCTCTCATCATATGGTTCCGGGGCACAGCAGGAAGCAGCTGTTGTCAGAAGATGCTCTGAAAAGCCACTGCCAACAGATAGACAAAGTCAGCCAGTCAAACAAAGAGCTAACAGAGAGGGAACACTGGACTGAGGTTCATCAGGTGGGCACAGACACCACTGCATATGAAGGATCCTGGTACTCTGTAGCTGCTGGATTTGGAAATAAACTTGGTCACGAGTTCATATCAGTGTAAAAGGTGATTATCTCACATCTTGTTTCTGCTGAAAACGGTTGAGCCAAACATTAGTTATTGCAGATTTGATTGCAGTTGAGGTGTCAGTGGAAATTAACCAGGTGAAATCAGTAAAAGTAGGAGAGGCAACGGTATACGTCATTAGATCTGTCTGTCAGCTTCAGAACCCCAGTGAACGCATTTCCCCCTGCAGTAATTTAGGGTGTCCCAACACTGCAATATTTGATATTGCCACCATTTTGTCATTGTTTTTGCAAATGACATATTATCCAGATTTTAGTGCTGTGAATGTCTGTATCCAGCCCTGAGTTTTCACACCCTTGATGCGTGTTAGGAAACTAACAGGTTAACCTTATGTGGCTTCCGAGAGGATTGGACAAGGGTAACATTGTTCTCGCCTCGGTGGCATGATAAAGACTCCCTGAGTGCTTATTGCACAAATACAGATGTATTTGTATGCCCACAAACACAGATGTATTTGTGGGCAACTTTAGAGAACAGAGGAAATTTAACCTGGTTGTTGTGCCACAACCCAAGTGGATCTGTTTATGGGCTCTTCCTATAGGTAGCATGTAAGTTGGGTTTTTGTTCGAGTTGTCTTGGGTAAGGATGCGGAGGTGGTCGTTTGTGACTTCAACAGGTCTCAAAGAGTTTTTTTTTTTTTTTTTTTTTTTTGCTGCAAGTAGTATTGCTTGTGCAGAGCACTCTTTGCATTGTGGTAGTTGCGGTTGCTTGTCATCCCTGTTGTTGGCTTGTCAGTAGTGTAGTAATGCAGTATTGCAGTTATTGTGACACCCTGCCCATACACTCATCAGATTTGGGTGGAGGTGTCTGAAACACTGACATCACAGCCACCTCACTCATTGATAGGTCATCTGCATGTAGGTGAGGAAGTGGGCGGGGTTTGAACTTTTTCATTCCTCACAAAATATATTTCTATAACCTTTCGTGTGAACAGCTGATGTCGACAGTATGAACGTCTGCAGGAGAGGCAGTCTGAAAATTCTCATTAACAACCGCTATGTCTGGTTCTTCCCGAGTGTAGCGGGACACTGTCGCTGATGACCCAAAATCTCAGGTCTGAAATAAAACTTAACATGTTCTGTTGTTTCGCTGAGTGTGTTTATTCTGGTGCCAGAGAAAGATACTGTATAGGTGCAGCGCTCAGGATGAGAGGTGACACTAAACTCCAGTCATTTCTGTTTCTTTTGTAAGGACTCAGAACCTGCAGACTGTGGCAGATGTACAATAATTGGTGAAGTTACATGAAGCTCTGCTGACAGACAAAATGTGTCCAGAGGAGTAAAAATGAAAAAGAAATATGAATAATAATATTAGCAATGATAACAATGACATGAGTCAGCCTGAGTGACTTGGAGTTCTTGGAGACACTAACAGTGTAATTGTAATTTGCTGGTTTGACTCTGCTCAGGGACATTTTTCCTCTGGTCACTGTCTAATAAGAACCAGTATAAACATGTTGGTCACCCCCTAGCTGCTGGAGACAGTGAAGCGTTTCATGACTTTGCGAGTGAAGAGCGATAAAGAGTACGCTGCCCTACTGCTCAGCATGACTCAGCAGACAGAGAAGCAGGAAGCCTGCGACTACGTCAGCACCGTCAGCAAGGTGAGCCGCCTCACCTGCTCGTCCGCTCCTGGCATCTCTGACACAGTCTTAGACCTGGTCTCAGTCCCTCTCTCTGTCAGTCATGGTCTCAGATGATTCGTCAGACGGAGGTGCTGGGTCGAGTCATGAGGAGCCACGCTGACGACCTGAACTCTGGTCCCCTGCACCGTCTGGCCACGCTGATCCGGGACAAGCAGCAGGTGAAGAAGAGCTACCAGAGTCTTCATCAGCAGCTGGAGAGCCACAACCACAAGGTCTGCAAGGAAATAAACAAAGCTACTGGGTGGGGTGGTAAATCAGACAGGTGTGACGGGCACATTTAGTATTTTTCCCTCAGTTTCTTTAACTTCTTGTGTGAGACAAACAGGCTAAATGTTGGTGCTGGTTGCTGCTGCTGCTAGGTAACCAGAAGTGACCTGGAGAAGCTGAAGGCAACGTATCGTCAGTTGAGCCGTGACGCGAACAACGCCAAAGAGAAATACAGAGAAGCTCTGGCTAAAGGTTTCTTCTCTTTACCTTATGGTTTGTCTTTGGACAGTTTATTGTATTACATCTAAAATGTTTCAAAAGAGCACTGGAAAGTTTTGTTACTGAATTTTTTTGACAAATGATGAAATGTTGCCACTGATTTACCTTTTGAGAGATTGATGTGCTCTAAACAGCTGTTTTTTCAGTTTCTGTTAATGTGTGAACGTTTTTAAAATGCTTTATTTGCTGTTAATTGGAAAATTCTTGAAAGGTTCTAAATTGTTGTGAAGGGCCTGGAAAGACTTTCTGTGGTTTTAAGAGTTTGTTGATTTTCTTTTGTAAAGTTTTACACACAAAGACGTTTTTCAGTGTAATTTGAAGTTTTGTAATCTTTGACTCCTCCCACTTCCTGTCTCTCACCGAATCGCAGGCCGGGAGGCAGAGCGTGCCCGTGAGCGTTACGACAAAGCAACAGCAAAGCTTCACAATCTTCATAATCAGTATGTGTTGGCTGTGTGTGGCGCTCGGACGCAGCAGGACGAACATCAACGCTGTGCTGCACCTGCTCTGCTTGATGCCTTGCAGAGGATGCAGGAGGACATGACGCTTGCACTGTGAGTTACATGACCTGACATGCAAACTGACATGGTGTGTCTCTGTCACTGTGCTCTGTCAGCTAACACTGGAATCAGTAGCTTGCTAGCCTGCTGCCGTGTCGATACAGCTGAAGTATTTTCACATGACTGACAGCTGTGAGCTCCCACTCCAGACGGTGGCCTTCCCTGATTACCTAAGAGTGCCATCCCAGCAAAAAACCTTCAGAAGGGAATATTTCTGCACTGCTGCCAGGCTGTTTGGGTCTGGGTCACAGGACGTTTCGAGAGCAACTCTCCCCATTGAGATAAGCCCCGAGGAAATGTTTCTACTAAAAACATATTTGAAAATTGCTACACATTCTAGCTTTAACAAAGGAAGCCAGAGCTTGTCAGGGTTTCATCCTGTGGCAAGATAATGAGCCAAAGACAGCTCCAGGCAAGATGGTTGGCTTCAAACGATGGAATGGCAGCTCAGTGTTCAGGCTTTCCATGTGAAGAGTAAAAGCAAAGCAACTTACAAACGCATCTGTGGGAGCTTGTGCAACAGTGCTGTCTGTCCAGCTATGTTTGATTTCACTTGTAAGAATTTCATTGTACAGGGATACACGTTTCCTAACTGTGCATATGTCAAATAAACACTTTGAACTTGTAGAGAGATGTAACAGGTGTGTTCAGCTGTCTGATTGCACTCATAACAGCTGGAAGTGTGGTGTTCTAAAACTGTGGACTAGTGGCATAGATGTTGTATATCTCTGTCTTTTTCTGTGTTACTGAAGTAAAAGTATTCTGGAGGAGTACTGTGAGATCAGCAGTCTTCTGACGGAGGAGATAGTGAAAGTCCATCAGGAGATTTCAGCAGCTGTTCAGCAGATTGATCCACTGGCTGAGTACCAGCACTTCATCGACGCTTACAGGTAAGAAAATCAGACGGTGGTTTCCCTGGGACCCCTGTCCCTGGTCACCCTGGTAACGCTGTTTCCCTCTCAGGTCTCCTGAGACTCTGGAGGCGATTGTGGAGTTCGACACATCCCTATTGGACGAGACAGACAACCTGCCAGCCAATGAGATCCTGTGGAACACACTGACGGCCGACAGCCTGCAGGCCATGTGAGCTACTACAAAATAAAACTCACCATGCTGTTTCCTGTTACCTGCTAGGCATGGGAGAAAAAATTCGATTGACATTAGAATCGCAATTCTTACCTTCTACATTTCTAATTTGATTTACAAATGCTAAAAATTTACGGTTGTACATCTATGGTAGCAATGTTTGTCCATCTTCAGAAAAGGAAAGCATTTGTGTGTGTGTGGAGCACTGTGTGAATACTTCATAGCCCGTCACCGACAGACTGATGTTAGCGTGGCATCGAACATATTAAACACGCAGCTCAGCGGCACACACTGCAGCACTTCAGTCAAACTGAAAAGACCTCATTTCTACAGACCCGCTGCTCATTCCTACAGACACGCCGGCTTTCTCTGGCAGCAACGCTGCAGCACAGACACACTGCTGCAGACACAACACTAACAACAACACAACCGAGCACTCTGCTTTGTTCCTCCTCCGCCTCTTTACAACACACACTAGCTACCGAACACCAGCAGTTAAAAAAGCACTCAAATAGTTTACTGAAGTAAAAGTAGCTGTAGCACAGTATTAAAATCCTCCTGCATTCAAAATATTACTTAAATAAAAACACAGGAGTATGAGCATCAAAATATAACCTGAGCTACCAAAAGTAAAAGTACTCATTATGCAGACTGGCATTTATATTATTGGATTATAATTATTGTTCATCACATTTGATGCTGCAGCAGGTAACGGTGGAGATTATTTTAATAACCTTGTATAGTTATAATTTCTAATGCTCATCAGAACCAGTTGGCTCAACTGTCTGTTAAGCTTCATCAGCAGCTCAGTGGGTCCAGGACAGATTTCAAAGAGCCAAAGTCTGTTTTTTTTTTTTGTTTTGTTTTGTCTTTTAAATTGTTTTTGATTCAAAAATTCTGAATTGAATCGTGACACCAAGAATTGGAATCAAATCAATTTGTGCATTTGCCAAACATGTGGGAATGTTTGCCTGCCAAAGTAAAAGTTATCCCTTTCAGTCCTTTTCAGAACTTGTCTCAAAATGGTGCTCTGTCCACAACCTTTACAGACCTTAGTAAAGTTCAAATACAGACTTTTCCAAAGCCTTTAACATGAATTGGTGAAGTTTGTCTTTGGTCCATCCAGCCATCATCTATCCCAGGGGGCTCCAGCCTTTTTTACTCTGAGAGCTACTCCACAGAGCTGCACCTCCTCTCACATATCAAGACCTTATTTTATAGATTGCATGTTGTAAAAAACAGTGGAAAGTTGGTTATTGTAGTTTGGCTCCTTATCAACACAAACCAAAATAGAGATAATTAAGGCAGGCAACTTAGAACCCCATGGTGTGTCCGACTGCCACAGTTTGATTAAAAAGAAAGACTTTGTGTTGCTTACACATTCCGAGGACATCACAATCTCAGATTTCCACTGCGAATAAACGTGCAGCACCCCGCTCGGAAGCGGTACAAAATGCCAGTGGATTGACAGCTGGTAGTACATCCAGTGGTACATAGCAAATGGCAGGCGCTAAGAGCGAGTTGGGCGCAGTGTTATTTGCTTTACTGAAATGTAGCCTAAATGTGCCGCAGGCCGCAGCACAGCTAGCTGCTTCCATGGCAACCTCCTGTTCCTGTACAGTAATGTTACATGTTTATCCTTTAAGTGAAGACTTTTAAGGTTTAACACAACTTTGTCCAAAAGAGGTGCTAACATCACTGAACAGTGTAGCTGATGTAAACAAACTTGACAACAGCGTAACTCATTTGATTGGCAGGTTACAGGCAAATAATTTGTTGCCAAAGGAGGGCGGGATGTGCGCATTTGATTGAACAACGGTCTGAGAGGGTTTACTGAGCGAAGCTGTATATTCTCTGAACCTTTAGGCGAGCTACTCAGAATAGGGGAGCTGCTGGTGTGGGGTGAGGTGCTGGAGTCTGTCGGCTTCAGTTCATTTTGTTTTTATGATTTTAATGTTTTTACATTTTTGTGACTTAAACATTATTTTTATTCCTCCTCACATCTGAGAAGTTTGTCTCCGCCTCCATGTTTCCATTCATTTACACTTTGTTTGTTTTTGAGGTTGTCATCTGCGATGGAGGAGCTGGTGCTGACTCAGCAGGATTTGCTTACAAAGGAGGCGTTGGCCGATGACCTCGACACTAAAATCCAGACGAGTGAGCAGAACGCAGAGAGGAAGAGCGAGTGAGTCCGAGGCTTCTAAGAACAGTTAAATGTCTCCCTCTGCCCTGATTCACTGTCTGTCTCTCTCACCCTCCTCAGCTGCGTCCTGCTGCTTAGTCAGAAACTCTCTCTCCTTGAGCTGCGTCACACCGTCCAATTGCTGCGTGGTTCTGAGGCCCGCCTCGCCTCCCAGAAGGCCCTGCTGGACGCCAAGATGGCCTCTGCCGCCACCTCCTCTCCCTCAACGCCGCCCCCCCTTGCACTGCCACGCACGCTCTGTGGGATCCACCGTAAATATTTAGTTATTGATTAGTCTGTGACCTGATTGATTTGATTGATTGATTTTATTCTTTCAAACATGCAGAACAGAACAAATGAACAAATGACAACACACATAATTACACATATCCAACCAATGCTAATCCAAAATCAGTTTGCCTACACATATTACATGTTTGAATGGAGTAGGAAGAAGTCAGACTTATCCAGTCCTACCCCATGACATCATATTATACAAAAATTAATGCTTCATTGGCTGCAAGCAGTATCTCTACATTAATAAACAGAGTATTTCCTTAATGCCTTCTCGAATAATCTTATTCTTGCATATATCTTGTATAACACATACATTTATATTTATGTTTAAACTCCTCAATTCTAGTACTATTTTTCATGTCCACAGTTAAATTATTCCATAATTTGACCCCACTTATAGAAATACAAAATCTTTTTTTGGTTGTACGTATAGCATGAACCCTTAAATTTAAGTGACCCCTTAAGTTATATCCCCCTTCCCTTTCACCAAATAACTTTAGGATTCCACCAGGTAATAAGTCGTTCCTGGCTTTATACATAAACACAGCACTCTTATATTCCACCAAATCAAAGAACTTCAACAATTTGGACTGTATGAAAACTGCATTTGTGTGATCCCTATACCCCATCCTGTGCACAACTCTTATCGCTCTCTTCTGTAATATGTACAATGGTTGAAGTGAGCTTTTGTATGTATTTCCCCAGTTTTCCACGCCATACTCCAAATATGGCAAAATCAATGAACAATACAAAATCCGCAATGCTTTAACGTCCAGCATATATCTAACCCTTGCCAATATCGATATATTTTTAGCTATTTTATGCTGAACATAACTGATATGAGATTTCCAGGATAATCTGTCGTCAACCATGACACCCAAAAATTTGATTTCTGATCTGAGGTCTGTACACAGAAGGGTAGAGCTCCTCTTTCAAAATCAAGGCATTGCAACATTGTTTTCAGAGATGCCTAATCTTTAACATTATATGTTTGTGTTTTATTTTTTTCATTTTGCTTGGTTTGCAGGAAACATTTCTGTTTTCTGTGTTTTCAGGACAAAACGAAGGAGAAGAGTTCTCGGTTCGACACTCTGCGACACTCTCTGGCCGGTATGATTCGATCCCATAAAGGCATGCTGGGCCCCTCCACCTCGGTGAGATACAGCACCTGTTCATCTCTAGTCAGGTTGTTGGAGCAGCTGCTGTCATTTGTATTTGTGTTCAGTGCTACTGTAGATGACTGCAGTGATGAGCTGGCATCAGATTTTCATGCTTCTCTTATTATGGAGAACATAGTGAAATTGTTATTTCACCTTGTAAAGCTCATTACTGAGATAATGGCACCAACATCCAAACATTTGCCCATTTCTGGGCAGGACAGCTGTGTCGGCTGCACGCTCTATGAGCATAACACAACTTTAACAAAGGCTCGGTTCAGAAGCACAGAAGATAATTAAGCTAATTTAATGAATTTTTGTCCCTGACAGATGATTCTCTGTGGCGTCTGTTTAACTGTGGCACGTTTTCTCTCAATAAAAATCAGAATATTTTCCACCTTTAGAGGTGAAGTGTGTTTTCCTGTCTTCCTCCCTGCAGCAATTCTTCGATGTCATCCCGACGTCGGAGCGCCCCCTGGCAGAGCAGGAGTGGTATCATGGTGCCATCCCCCGCACTGAGGCTCAGGAGTTATTACGGCAACAGGGAGACTTCCTGGTGAGGGAGAGTCACGGTAAACCGGGCGAGTACGTCCTGTCGGTGTTTTCTGATGAACAGAGACGACACTTCATCATCCAGTATGCTGATGTATGTAAACACACTAACACACACTAACACACACTTGTTTTATTAACCACATATGGAAGTTACACAGCCCTGCTGTAGAGGAAGGTAAATGTGAGGGCACGATTACTCAGTTTGTGCTTTTGGTTTATTCATTCGTGCACTTTATAAGATTTGTCATCTCCTGGCCAGTCTCACACTCTAGATTGCTGGGATTTAATACAGTTTTACTGTAATTGATTTGTGTGGAGCTTTGTGGATACGCTACCTGTTGTGGCTGTTAATGGCCTGAAGAAGCCTCTAATACAGAGCAGCACAAAGCGGATCACAGCATTTTCCTTCCATAATGTGAGCCGCCCCATGACAGCAGCATTCTGACTTTACCTGCTGTCAGTAACAACTGTAACATGATTGATCAGGATATGTGAAGGATATTTTTTATTTATCATGGCTCATGAGCCGATTTCAGGTTATTTTGTGTGTCTGATCAGTGATTCTCGGGGACCTCATCTGCTGAGCTCCTGTCCCTCATCAGCACCCACCTAGCAAGTTTACACATAAAGACAAATGGATTTTAAGGCCAGCCTTGCGCCGAATGACTTTTCAAGTGATATTGTGTCACAGATGAATTTACAATATAGGAATAAAATAA